GTTTTATTGAACATAGCAACACTCATCTAGTTATATGTCTCCTGTGGCTACTTTCTTGATAAAATAGCAGACTTGAGTAGATATACTAAATACACTAAGGCCTGCCAAGCTTAAGATATTTACTGTTTGGCCCTGTACAGAAAAATCTAACCAATTCCTAAAAAAAATGATAATAAACTTTGAGAGAGCAGGGATTTTGTCTATCTTGTCCTTGTCTACTGCCCTGTCATTAGGATTTAGAGCAGAACCTGATACATAGGAGGCTTTCATTAAGTGCTTGTTAAATAATAACTAATGTTAGTTCCTTAATGTCTCTGGATTTTAACACAATGAACCCAAGTCCACAAGCAATATACAAAGGGTTGTGTTGATGGTAAAATATATATGCACAAATAGCTGGTTGATCAGAATATGACTTTGAAGAGAAGCAGCTACTACAAAGATGTTATGACTGTCAAAGAAATTGCCTGAATATATTTCTCTACTCCAAGGAGCATGAGAAATTTGTACACTTCCTGCCTCATAGTGCTTATTTAGTTTGTGCTTGGAAAAAGAAGTGTGATGCTATTGGATGCAAAAAGCAGAAGAGCTCATGGTGATTTGAAAGAAACCATTTTGATAAATGTTTGTTTTGGTACCAGAGATTGAACCCAGGGGCACTTAACCACTGAGACACATCCCTAGCCCTTTTGTGTATTTTATTTAGAGACAGAGTCTCATTGAGTTGCTTAGAACCTCGGTAAGTTGCTGAGCCTAGCTTTGAACTTGTGATCTTCCTGCCTCAGCCATTCAAGTTACCAGGATTGTTAGAAATTTTTATCCACTAAGGGAGGCACCTTTCTTAGTATGTGGGAAGGTTCTTGTAATTTACAGTCACATGAACTTATGTGAGAGAATTTAGACTCTGGAAATTGACTACCAAGTTTCCCTTCTGACCCTCATATGTTTTAGCTGTGTTGAAAGAGTTATTTCAACCCACAATTTCTGCATCTGTGATATAATTACTATCTACTGAACTTCATAAACAAATGAGTTTATTGCATTAAAAATACATTATAAAATTGTATTGTTATAAATGTAATTTATATTCAAATATAATAAGGTTATTATATTATAAGCATATTACAAGTTATATAAATATAAAATATTATACATAATTATTATGTGGTATTAATTTTGTATTATTGTATCATAAGAAAGATTAATAATAATTTTATAAGATTATCTAATTTACATACTTTTGTTTTCTCAATGGTTCCACCCAAAATTTTGTAGATGTTTGGTTTTTCAAGGTTTAAGAGTTCCATTTTAATTTGGGGTGGTCTTCTTTATTTTCCTTGAGATTCACATTGTTTAAAGAAACTAGGATGATCATTAGGACACTTGTCTCAAATTCTAAGTTGATCTGAACATTTATTTTCATGTCCTTTATTTATTCTTTCTTTCTGTGTTGTTTCTTTAGGCTGGAAGTTACCATATCTAAAGGGTAGACTGGGTTCACTTGAGCACTGAAGTAGGGTACTCTGTGGAATTGCGGCTCACCTCTTGCCTCTCCTCAGGAGGCAGGAAAGCCAGCCTGCTACACCCTCAGTGATGCAGAGGATGAACTTCCTCAGGGGAGTAACCTCCCTGTCACTCTACCCTGATGGTTCACTTTCCCTGAGGAAATTAACAAATAACCTTGTCGTATGATTCTTCATGGCATTGCCCATCAGTGACCAAAAAGTCACTTCATCAGTTTGGCAAAGGGTGATTTTATAGCCCTTCATTTCCTTCATTGTCAGCTTTCACTCTGCTGGAAAAATCTAGCTCTGCCAACCATCATATTTTATGTTACATTTTTTGTTTAAGAAACATAATTAAAAGCAAATAAGAGCCTATAAGCGAGGCCAATTTCAAAGTTAATGTGCTGTTCAAAGAGACTTCCTTTCATGCTCTGTATTCTCCCTCAATCTCTACCTTTCTTTCAATGGCAATGTTAATTTAAAGGCTGGAGACACTCTTAAAAATATTAAGGGGGCCAGGTGTGGTGGTGCACACTTGCAATCCCACTGGCTCTGGAGGCTGAGACAGGAGGATCGCAAGTTCAAGGCCAGTCTCAGCAACTTAGTGAGACCCTAAAGGACTAAGGGAGACTTTGTCTCAAAACAAAAAAATAATAATAATAATAAAAATAAAAAGGGCTGGGGATGTGGCTCAGTGGTCAGTGGTTAAACACCCCTGGGTTCAATCCCTGGTACTAAAAAAGGCAGCAAATGAGTGAATGAGCAAGATTATTTGTGATAGTGATGATTCCATAGGAAAATAAAACACAGTGACCTGATGGACAGTGAGGGGCGGGGGGAGGGGAGGGAGTTACTGTACAGAGCATGGCCAAGAAGACTCAAATGATGAAAAGATATCTGCGTATGGGAATTCCAGGTAGAGAAAGCTATAGATGCAAAGTCCCTGCAGGGGCAATGAATTTGGCATGCTGAGGTGACAGGAAGAAGGCTGTGGAGCTGGAGTATGATAAACAAGGAGGAGAGTGGCAGGAAGTGAGATGTGGGAAGTAAGCGGGGTCCCAATCCCAGGGCCTCATAGGCCAGGCTGAGGACTTTGGAATGTAACTAATTGCAAAGGGAAGCCACTGGCACATTGAACACAGGAGGTGGCTTGATCTGATGCATGTTTTTAAAAAGAGCCCTGTGGCTGCTCTGTGGGAATGGACTAGAAGTGGGCAAAGAAGCAGGAAGGCAGATTAGGAGTTGTATTGGTCTCCAGAGTCAGATACGGCAGCTTCAGTGTCCATTTCAGATGGATCCATTCAGTTCTCACTGAAAGTGGAGAAGAACTGTCCTTTGTAAAATAAGACATTTTGGTGTTTGAGGATGTCAGGAAGTGTGATCAGAGAATGCAGTGAATAAAATAGAAAACGTCTTTTGTTTAACTGATTCAGTTAAACTGATTCAGTCACACCGTGTACCTTTTGTTCATGAACAAGTCCCAAGAGTCTTCTCTGTGCCAAGCACTGTTCACCACAAGATACGAGGGTTTCACTGTTTCATAAATTGCCATTCAATAAGCAACGAAATAAAAAGCTTAACTGGATAAAAATATGTTTATTAATTGACAGTTGCATCTATGTATCCTCAGTCTTTACATTCTCTACCAAGTTTTCCCGAGTGGGTCCTAACTCTATCTTCTACATAGTTTTTCCTTAAATGAAATGATGCAAAATAGAAAATTGTACAAAAAAAATTCTAAAATATTCCACAAGCAAAATATGATATTAGTAATAATTTTAAGATTGGCTTTTAGAAGTATATCAATAACAATTTAAAATATAAATGAATCATAACAACTTACACTTTTTAAAGTACACGTGTCTCATCTCACTATTTTGTGCCCAACTCTCTCCCCAACCCCATCCCATCACCACATGCCTTGCAGGGCTAGAACTAGAATAAGGCCAATGAAACCAAGGGAGACTGAATCATGTATGTGCAGGGAGACATCCTATCTTTATTTAAAAATAATATTCTCTTCAATGTGGGTTTTACACACACAGTATATTATATATCTGTGTGTGTGTGTGTGTGTGTTTAAATGGTGCATTAAAACATCACTTATATGGATTGCCCAGGGTTGTGTTTTGTTTTGTTTTTTGACTTATTTCCATTGCTTTTAGAGTTGTCTGTCTCCTCATCCTAGTTCCTACTTGCCCACCTGCTTCCCCTTCCGTTTCAACACCCTACAGCCCAATCACAGTATATGTGAAAAGACTTTCTGTGAGCATCTGAAATAATGCCAAATTTAGACCTGCCATGAGAAAGGAACATTCTGAAAGTGTCCTTTTTAGAGGGATACCCTTTACATTAATACTGATCTTGCAAAAGTTTTCTCAGTCTCCTTTAATAACTAGATCCAAGGAAAGTGTGATGGCTATCAATGATTTCAAATTATGTAGGGAGCTTTTAAAACTAATTTTCCTTATTTCTTTACCTTTATTCCTCTGGTAAGGAGGGAAAGGCAGGGAGGGTTGAGGCAGAAGAAGGAGCAGAACAGTGACACAGTTTGAAGGCATCTTCTGGAACTGTGGTGTGTGTTCTTTACCTGGAGAAGGAGAGGTTTGGGTACATGGCTCACAGATTCATGTCATATTAACATCTGACTGGCAGCATGGGTCTTTGTGATCCAAAAGGAGGTTAGCACTTAGAGATTCTGGAGGATCCACCAATGTAGTGGAGTTGAAATGATAAAGACAATCTGTCTCTAGTACAATCTGAATCCCTGATCACTCATCTCCCAAAATTAAGGGTGCAAATGGTTTGATTCTCCTTCTCCTTCGTTTTCTGTGTAGAGCAATAAACCAAGTCAGACTTTTGGTTTGAACCTCAGCTATACCCTTGGTTCTTCCGTGAATTGGGGGCTCTCTCTGAACCTCAGTTTCCTCTACCATAAGGTGACAATGACAATTTCTCTTTTACCTGGCAGCCACATCTAGAAAGCGATATGACATTTAGAAGGCTTGGCATGACCTGTAATAATGGATGTTCAAGAAATCTGTGATTATGAATCTGTTTAAACAGTGTCAAGGTTATAGCATATCTATTTGGTTTTTGTAAGGTGATAAGTTTAGGAAGGTCTGTTTTACACGCCTATTAGTTATTCTAAATTATCCACAGTGTCTAAAACCTTGTGCTAATACCCACTTTGCATTTGTAAGTGTTGGAGATAAATATGGAAAGCAACTCCATTTGAGTATCCTCTACTATGGTTTCAGGACACAAAAATTGAAATCTGAAAACGGATTAAAAACTCAATGTCCTTACTTAACTGCAATCTCAATCCCAAAAATATTGTGTGTGAGAAACATACAAACAGTAACTGATAGAATATACACCATATGATTAATTATTCTTGAAGAAATATTATTTAAGAAAAAAACTCAAAAACTCAAATGTTTTCTGCTGTTTACTTTGTGATTGAAGTTTGAAATGGTTTTCTTTTATCTTAAGGTACTAAATCAAACTTCTCGACTTGAAATTCAACTGTTGGAGAATTCATTATCAACATACAAATTAGAGAAGCAACTTCTTCAACAAACAAATGAAATTCTAAAGATTCATGAAAAAAACAGGTGAGTACTATACCTTTCCAAAAATATTTATGTATGCACTTTTGTATATTCTCTGTGCCTACTCAAAAAAAAATTAAGATTGAAGTGGCTCAAAAGAAACTAATTTTAAATATGAAATGCACAGAGTTTGAGACAAATGTAGTAAATATGTCAACAATATGATCAATGTTTACATATTTACATTTTTGAGATACTTACTTTTTATAACATTTAGTATTAATTTCTCTGTTTGGTTACTCAAATCTATAAGAACATCTACAATATTCATTTGATTCTATAACTAAATTCCAAGACAGAAAATATTGACATTTTCCAGCAAAATCAAAGTTAATGAGAAGAGAATAGAGCCTCTCAAATTATCATTCAACCCACTCTTAAGTTTTTACAAAGTAAGAAGATATTCAAATTCAGAGATCTTGCACTAGAGGGAGAAAAAATCATATTTTTTAACAAAGTTATTAGCTAATAAATGTAATCAAGATTTTTTTCCCATTTAAAACCATGTTCTTAGACATAATAAATAAATGCTTGTTAGATTTATAGATGTTATACCAGCTTTTTGTTTTATAAATTATACATCATTTCAGGTAAGTAGAATGGGACTTGGTGCTATCAAGACTTAAAGTCATTAACAATTGGTAACACAATTTAATAAAAACAGTGATTTTTTAAGGATGAGTATCTTGTATTTAATTGCATTTCCTTTTATTTGGACCATGAGAAGTTGAGTTTTAGCCTTTTTGCATTATAGTGCTTTAAATAAAATTGTACTGATAGAAATTAGTGAAATAACATTGCATTAGTGGAACCAGAGTTACCATGTTCCAAACCAGGGAGGACCTAAGAGGTCTGCTGTTTCTCCTCTTACTTCACAGGTGAGGGAACAAGACTCAGAGGAAATGACCTGTCCAAGGTCATAGAGCTTGCCTATGGCAGAGCTGGTAATGCAATCAGGGGTTCTTTGCTATAATCCTCCTCTTTCCACTTTCACATATGGCTTCAGGTTATTGACAACCTAAAAGGATTTTGCCACTTCATGCTAAAAGTAGACCATAATGCCAACAATTACAATTAAACTTCTGCATGGAAAAAAATAAACCTGGCTATAAGTTTAAATCAGAAAGGGGTCACTCATGTGCTATGACTTGTATTTCTAAGTTATATATTTATTTATCCTTGTGCGGTGTCATGGGGTAAACTGTATAACTATAAATAAACTTGACAGGACTTGACCCTGAACTGGCTGCCTGATGAAATATTCTGGAATTGAAATCCTGTTGAAAAATACCACTCATCCTACTGTAGTCTCACATAACCAGTTCTATGCATGCATGTGTCAGGCCTACTTTCTTCAGCCACCCCTTGATTTAGAGTCCCCAACCTGTGCTTTACTCTTGTTGCTAAAATGAACCCTATATACATTCAGACACTTCAAAATCTTTTGGGAAAACTTTTTCCAGGGATCTTGAGTATGTAGAACAATGGCAATTTTAGTTTTTGAGTCACTATTTGTTTGAGGATTATGGAAATGACACACATTTTTTGTAGCAAAAGGAGAAAATAAAGGAAAATTAAAAGCTATAGTTCCAACATGTAGAGATAAATCTTTTTCTGAATAGCAAATATAAATATATTCTTCACAAAAGGTTGTGTCATACAGTACACCCCTTTTCAGTCTGCTTTCTTTGGAGATAGGTATCTTTTAATATCAACAAAATGTCCCTCTAATATCATTCTTAATAGCTGTATGATATTTTGTTTTATAGGTGTAACCCAGGGTGGTTTTAACCCAGCTCTCAGTAGGTGTGTTGCCACCTGTGATTTATCTTTTAAAAAGTTGCCAGCATGATCTCATATCCGTTGATGCTTCCCGTATTCATGTGTGCATTATCTCTTGGTTTGTGTCTGGCACTTTAGCTGACAGGATCTCATAAATTCAATAAGTAACCTTGAAGGGTCTGATCCTTAACTATAAAAACAAATGCCATCCTTAAGTATCAATTATACTAAGGTCGGTCTGTCCATCTCTTTCTCTTTTCTTTTCTCGTCTCATATTCAGTTTTTTTTTTTCTTTTTTAAAAAAAAAATCACTTCTACCTAAATTCTTGGATATTTTGCTTTCCCAATATGATTTCTGAGCTGATATCTGGTATTGTTTCCTATTGCGGGATTTTCACTAGGAAACATATAATGTTTTAAAGGCAAACTGATTAAAAGTTGTTCTTTCTGTTCTTGCAGTAAAAGGGAATCAGGATGAACTCTCAAAAGAATTTCCTCTGGTCAAATACAAGACCTTCTCCTTGTGCTATAGCCTCTCAGAGACTCTGATTCCTGACCCCAAGCATACACACATGCCTTCTGCTAAAGACATTTTTCTCCCTAATTAAATTCTAATTCATATTGAAAACGCAAGTTTCCTTTTATATGCAAATTCTATCATTTATTACTCATGATAATTTTTCAAGATCATGACAATTTCTTTTTCTAATAATATATGCATTGCACAAGGAGTTCAGGTGTTTAGACTTTAATTTTAATACAAGACATGTCTTATATCCTTCTCCACACTTGCTTCTTTTTTGACTCTGAACTTCTCAAATATGATGTTATCTTATATGTGGCTTTGGAGGTGTTTGTCTGTCAATTGTTTTACCTCTTGGCCTTGCTTGAATTTCTAAAGTTATCTGTCCTTTTGTGGAAGGGTCTAACATGTGCAAGGGAGAGTTGGTGGAATATCTGTTCTTAAGCCAATTATATTTTTCCCTGAACCAATTTTGGTTTATTGTTTTGGTACTGGGGATTGAACTCAGGGGCACTCGGCCACTGAGACACATCCCTACCCCTATTTTGCATTTTTATTTAGAGATAGAGTCTCACTGAATTGCTTAGGGCCTCATTAAATTGCTGAGGCTGGCTTTGAACGTGCGATCCTCCTGCCTCAGCCTCTAGAGCCGCTAGGACTACAGGAGTTCAGGTGTCTAGACTTGCACCACCATTCCTGTCTGAACCACTTTTTAAAAAGAGTTTTCTTTGTATAAACAACAACAAAAAAATCCATTTGTGATATGTAGCCAATTTTCCCTATTTTGTTTATTGTTACCATTTATTTTCACATGTGCAATGGAATAAGAGGAGTTCTGCCAACCACTTCATACAGCAATAAAGTGTTCCTTCCATTCAATTGAAGAGAAGGCCATAAAGTCAAGAATAAAGCAGTTTGTATTTTTTAAAAAAATTATTGAGCATCCCTATATGTTCTTTATGTAACTGTAGTTCTCCAAATGCAAGAATAAACTATTTCTACACTGAAGCATCTCTGAAAAATAGTAACAACTTGAATTTAGTTAGCCAGGTCTGGTTTGGATCAGCTAATACACTTTGCAGAAGGGATTATCTAAATTAAGCTTTTCTTCCTCCCCAAGGAATGTTAGGGCTTGTATCTGGGTATGTGACTTACTAGCTTTGAATATGATGGGGCCTTCTCAGCCAAGGCGGTGAGTTGGCCCTTAGAAGTGTCACCATCTCTTTGGCAGAACAAGGAGAAATATTTTATGGATAGGATTACACTACACAAGCATGCTGAGAGTTCCTGCTGATTTACATCCTGACAAATTAAATGCCTCACTTGTAGGATTGAAAACGGATTTTTGGCTTCATTAGATTCACTTCTTTACCCCCTAGATAGCCAAAAGCACAAAGCAAGAACTGGATTAGCAATATTAATTCTACTGTTTGTTTTCTTACCAAGAGAGTAGGGGTGGTTCTGAGAATCTTCCAGTTTACTCTCTTTAGGAAATATTGTTTTTATTTGGTTGGATGCGACACTAATCACAAAATGTGGCTTTGGTTCTTACTTCAAGGAAAAGGCATTTGGAAGTATATATAACCCAGTTATATAACTGAAATTACACAACCAAGAACCCAAGTAAATGGAAAACATTAATAATTACCCTACTCATAAGGAGGCAGGAGCACAAAGTTGGTATGCATAATTGTCAACTTTTATTAAATTCCTTCAGTGTTAAATTCCTCCACTGCTTTTGCTTAAAAACAATGGAATAAAGAAGTGTACAGGGAAAGATATCATAATGCAATTTCCTTCAACAGAACCAAATATGAGACTGGATCTTTTAGTCTAATGGAGGGATCATTTGGCTATGTTTCAAGGTATGTACACATCTTATACACAATCCCAACTTTTTCCACAGACAGGCAAAAGAAGTTTCCAGAAGAAATATTTTTTGTTGCAACAAGGTACACAGAAAGGAAAAATCAGTACTCCTTCTGTATTAAAAAAAAAAATGAAGCATATGGGTTTTCTTGATAACTATGTTGAACATGCAGTTGAAGATGAGGGAAATCTCAGAGTGAAGCGAGTTCTACATATGGTGGCAATTCCAAAGTAGTTCAAGCCATACTAGCTGCTGCCTACCTCTTTATTATAATGTAAATGTCTGAGCCAGGTGCTTTTCATTTACTATTGGTAAGCCTCTAACCAATTCTGCAAAGTATATTTTATTATTTTCATTTTACACATTAAAAAACTGAAGTTCACAGAGATCAAATAACTTGCCCTTGACCAAAGAGTCAAAGTATGGCAAAATGAAAGTTTAAGTCCATGACAATTTTATTCATTAATTATTATAAAAATATTTTTACAACATGATGCAGCCTAAAGTATAATTGATGTGGTTGTCAAGTTAGTCTCTTAACACAAACAAGTATAAAACTGAAGAAAGTGGTAGGCCAGTTGTTTTTGGCCTGCCACTGTACACATCATTATTTAGTCCTTCTAATATTGGCATAGGAGATATAAACTATTTATTTTAGATTGGAAATTCACTGAACTTTTTTTGACAAGCCTCATCTATCTTCCAATTGGAGTTATGGGAAATTATTAAGTTAATTAATTGTAAGTGATTGAAGTTTTGTACAATTTCAATAGACCAAATTATGCATTACAAACAAATTACTGAAATGGCCTAATAAAGTAGAGGTGC